AAACACGAGAAATTGTGAAGAATTTAGACCGATAAACTCATTAAAAACATGTGAAAAAATTCTTGAAAAAGTAGTAAAAGAACAACTCGAAATATATCTAGAGGAAAATTCAATTTTATCTAAATATCAATCGGGATTTCGAAATAAATATTCGTGTGAAACTACAGTGAACTATGTAGTAAACAGATGGAAAAATAAAAAGAAAAATAATAAAATAATGGCAATATTTCTGGACTTTAAGAGAGCATTCGAAACAATAGACCGCAAAATATTATTAAAAAAGATGTACATGTACGGAATACAAAATAATGAACTAAAATGGTTTAATTCGTATTTAACTAATAGAATTCAATACACTAAAATTAACAATATAAAATCTAATTCAAGTATAAATGATTACGGTGTTCCACAGGGATCAATCCTGGGTGCATTGTTATTCATTATATATATAAATGATATGCCAAATGTTTTGAAAAAAGTGAAATTATTTTATATGCGGACGATACATTAATATTTGCTGAGGACGAGAATGATAACAATTGTAAAGATAATTTAGAGCACGATATGAACAATATCAATAACTGGTTGAAAATGAATAAACTAAAATTAAATGAAAATAAAACTAAAATAATGGAAATTAACATTACAAACAGTGCAATATTTACAATAAATAATAATATAATAGAAAAAGTAAATCAAATTAAATATCTCGGTTTTATAATTGATAAGGAACTAAGCTTTAAAGATCACATAGATTATATATGTAAAAAAATTGCCAAAAAAAGTCGGTTTTTTCAAACGAATAAGAAAGAATATATCAACAATGACATCAATTAATGTTTATAATACAATAGTAAAACCACATTTCGAGTACGGTTCCACAATCATATATACATGCTGTAAAACAACACAATTAGAAAGATTACAAAAATTTCAAAACAAGGCTATGAGAATAATACTTAAATGTAACAGATATACATCAATACAACTAATGCTAAATATACTAAACTGGATGAATATCAAGCAAAGACTAGAGTTAAATACAATACTATTTATACAAAAAATGAAGAGCGGAAAAGCACCAGGATATCTATGCGAACAATTAAATTATGTAGGTGATATACAACCATATAGACTGAGAAATGCAGAAGACTTCAGACTACGGCCAGCACATAACACAACTGCGCAGCTATCGTTATTCTATAAAGGACTTAAACTATATAACTCCATGCCAACATATATAAAAAAAGAAAGAAATGAATATGTATTTAGGAAAGAATGTGTAAATTTTGTTAAAAATAATACAAATGTACTTTTATAGAGCTAAAATTAATTTAATGATTATGTAATCAAATTGTAACCAAAATTGTAACTTAAAAGTATTAATAATACTAATAAATAATAATAATAATAATAATAATTTAATTTAAAAAAAATTTTGTTGCTTTACTGGCAGATTGAAGCGAGTTATGTGCGTTATAGTAATTTTCTGAAGGGGGTTATAAACCGATCCTCATAAAAGATTTATGTTTCTATAAAACAAGTATATGTCGATTTTCGTGCTATACTAGCACGAAGAGAATTATGGGTGTTATAGACATTTTTATTTAAACCCCGGCACCTGTGCCAGAGTCCATCTTGGATCCGTCAGTGAAAACTGCACACCCCTCAAACAGTACTTCGGATCCTTCCCACTCATCCCTACTAGGAATCACTATTTTGTTACTCCGAAGTCCAGGGTCGTAACCAAATGATCAGAAATACCCTCCGTACTTCCCTAAATTCCTGTTAGACCTACCTCGTACAGTATTCAAGTGTGGCCTACCCGCTTTGGTGTTACTAGAGCTGATTCAAACAGTCTGAGTAAGTTCCTAGTCGCTACACTCTCAACATATTTCTCAATTGGGAGCAGATTCAGAATAATATCCAATGCCGCTTGCGGTGTACTACCCCTGGCACTTGTAATGCCGATAGAAGCACATCTTTGAGCCTTACTGTGTATTAATCTATAGCTGCTTTTCCTCATCCCTACTCACCACACAGTACAACCATAGGTAATAATGGGCCTTACTACCGACGTGTAAATCCAATTTACCATGTCTGGTCGCAAACCCCAATTCTTACCAATAGAGTTTCTGCACGTGTAATAGGCATTGAGACCCTTTTTAAGCCGTTCCTGTATATTCTTCTTCCAAGACAATTTGCGGTCAAGGAAGGTCCCTAGATACTTGGCTCCTTCCGATAAAGTCAGTTCAACGCCGTTTATTTTTGGCAAGTTAAAACTCTCAACTAAAGTAACCATAGTAGGGGAGATAACACTCCTCCTTGGGGTGTACCCCTGGTAACTCGTTTGCGAATCCTATCATCCCCTAAGGTTGAGTTAATAATTCTGCTATCAAGCATCGATACTATCCAACTCACTAGGAAATCCTGAACTCCTAGTACGACTAACGACTCTCTGATGGCCTCTGTTCTAATGTTGTTAAAGGCGCCTCTATGTCCAAAAACGCGGCTAAAGTATATTCCCTATGCTCTAAGCCGCGCTCAATACAACCAACTACCTCATGTAACGCACTCACAACCGACTTACCCTTTAGGTAGGCATGTTTAGCGTTGCTAATAAGACGCGTATCTATATTGCTCCTGAGATAAAGATCTATCAGACGTTCTAAGGTCTTCAGTATAAAAGACGATAGGCTGATAGGCCTGAAATCCTTAGGTTTCGAGTGGCATGCCCTACCGGCCTTAGGAATAAAGATTACCCTAACCTCTCTCCACCTTCTTGGAAGGTATCCCGTGAGGAGACAGCTCTTGAAAATGTCAGCTAGAACTGCCAATGCGTCTTCAGGAATATTACAGAGCATGGCCGGAAAAACGCCATCCGGACCCGGTGATTTAAATGGGTCAAAGGTTTTCACCGCCTAGCCCAATTTGTCCCTAGTGACTATTTCATCAATATGAGCAGATGAATAACTAGAAGCACCAGGTCCCTATCATCTATGTCAGCACAACCTGGGAAGTGAGTTTCCATAAGCAAAGAGAGTGTCTCTGAGCTGGACTCCGTCCACGAGTTGTCTTCACGTTGAATGTAACCTAAGGCCTTGGGGTCTTTGGCTAAAATTCTACGGAACCTAGACATCTCATTTACGTTTCCAACAGATTCACAGTAGTTCCTCCATGATGTCTGTTTTGCTCTCTTGATCTCTCCCCTATACATATTGAAACTCACTTTGTAGTTGTTCCATTCTTTTGGAAGTCTAGTAAGCTTGGCCCTATTAAACAACCTTCTAACCGTCGACCTTTGATCACGTAGTTCCCTGGTCCACCACTTAGGTTGCTTATGCCTACCCGGAAATTTCATCGGGCAGGATAGCTCATAGCTCTCCGTTAACACACTGGTGAATTTGTTGTCTACAACCTTATCCAATTCAAGGGACCGCAGAACATTTATATCCATCTGCGAAAATCCTGACCGGACCCTGTTGAAGAATTTTAACCAGTCGGTTTTCCTACGATCCCTAAAGGGTTCCTGCTTGGATTTATTCAAATTCACTATGAAAGTAATCCGGCTATGGTCAGAGAACGAATAGTCGGTATGTACTTTCCAATCCCTGATAAGATCCCTTTTTGGTTAGTAAGGGTAATATCAATGACTGTTTCCCTATCTTTATTCCTAAACGTTGGCATATTGCCCTGTTACAGATAATAAGATTCCATGCAGTAGTGAAATTAAACACTAACTCACCTCTTTTATTAATGTCAGCACTGCCCCATTGACTGTGATGTGCGTTTGCATCACAGCCTAGTACCAGGCGGCTCTATAGCTTCATAAGGCATGTACACTGAGGCCACCGAGAGCAAACGCTCACCCTTGACCTCTCTGTTTATAACGGTAAGATCAACTCTCCTAAAAGAATGAGATATTAGAAAATTAAGTTCATTCTTTGCCAATATACATGTTCTAACCTTATCCTCAATGGACGGGACGAACAAAGTATATCCCGTGATCGCTAATCCACAAACCCTATTGTTATTTAACCATGTTTCTTGTGATTAACTGTATAAAAACGAGTATGAGTTCAATATTCGCCATTGCCTTCACTATAGTGTGTTTTAAATAGTTTAATTTATCAATAACAAAAAATACAACAATTACTAAAGCCCCCTTCACACGAGTACACAAGTAATATGATCTGTCAAAATTTTGTGTAGAAGAGAACGGATGGGATCGTCTAAACGCAATATGTAACGAAATCATCACACATTGAGAGAAAATACGGATGGAAAATTTAACAGTCGTATGGCTCTCTTCATTTTTTGAAATCGCATTAGATCAGGGATGTATTTTTATGTAAACACACGCAAAAAAGCGAAACCGCTGTTTCCATCTTACTTTGTTATTGTTTTATACCAATCGTGTGAAGACAAAAAATATAAGTCATACTACTTTTATTATCTCTTTTGTCATATGGATGGAATTTTATTTTACTTTTTCATCTGACTTGTCGTACGTAAAGTGTGATCGTCTGAAGGACCCTTAACACGAAACGAAAGAAAATACAAAAAAATAATAAAGAAAAAACCAACAAAATACGCGAAGTAATAAAATCAACATACAACCACACATACATACGTTTTTTATTCAAAGCATGCACTAACATTTTTTTAATGAAATTTTCAGAGGGTGTGATTTTTGCTTATATCTCCGTTATTGATGGACGAATTTTAGTAATTTTAAATAGGAAACTTTTGGAATGCATGTCTGAAGATTCGGATTTCGTAGATATCGAACATGGCTAAATTGACTCCGCTATCTATAAGGGTCTATAATATATGTACTTTATAGGGTCGGAAAATTATATTATAGAAATTACTAACGGAATGACGGAACTTATACCCTTCTCACGAAAGTAAAGGGTATAATAAGAGACATTTAACAATTTTTGTGATGTTTAAAAGATTTAGAAAATATTTTTATCGTGCAATTACATTTGTTTCAGGATGATTTCAATTAATGAACGCATATGGGCAAATGAAGGTAACGAATGGCATTTAGTTCAATCTTCTATACGAGTGGTTACTCTTTTGGCAAATAATGCCCATGCAATATGGTCCAGATCAAAGTAAGTAACAATAACTACATTATCAAGCTATGAATAATACTGATATTCGTTTTTTATTCTATCATTAAAATAGACGTCGCATAATTGGAAAAGCTCAAGATATGGTATCGGTATGTTTAAATTTGTGCTATCAGAAACCGGGTACTGAAAGAATGCAACAATCTTTAAAGGAATTACAATGTCGCCTTCAAAGGAGCTTAACATAAGTTGCAAAGTAAATTATTATATTAATAAGATTTAGTTTTTAAAATCTTCTATTTTTATATTAATAACCGTTTGTTGATAGGGATACTTTATATTTTTTTGTTTTCAATACCAATAAATAATTCAACATTTTAACAAATTAAACACTTATTAATACATACATACATACATACATACATACATACATACATACATACATACATACATACATACATACATACATACATACATACATACATACATACATACATACATACATACATACATACATACATACATACATACATACATACATACCACAAATACCAGGCACTATTCAAAACAAATAAGTGTAACCAAAAATTATGCTTGTATTTCTTGTCTTCTGTAAATGTCAACGAATACTCTCAAAAGCAACGAATACTAAACGATTGGTATGAATGGTTTCAATGCTGATTAAATATAATGTAAGAAAAAATTAACATAACAATTTTTCGTGTTTTTGTGTGGTTACCGAAAAATCGGTTTTTTATACATACATATATTTTGGTTTTTCGTGACACAATTTTTGGAAAATATTGATTTTCGGTTAACCTGGCTCGGTTAACCGGTTTAAAATATTTGTAATTTTTAGTATAAAATTGTATGCTTTGTTTGGTTTTTTATTGTGATAAGTATTAGGATTCAGTCAGAAACATGAACAGATTTTTAAAGCATTATGACATTTATTGAGAATGTTAATATCATTTTTCTTGTTTATGAATATAATCCTCAACTTTTTGCAAAAATGTTAAAAATATTTTATGCGTATTAAATGCAGATATAAACTAAAAAAAAAAAACCAGGTAGTAAAAATAGTATGATACTCCATGAGTATATTTTAAATATTATTTATTTTCCATAGAGAAACTTTTATGTTGAATATTTCTTTAATTCCAATGCATTTAAGCAATTCATTGATGATCAACAATTGTCTAAAAGAGTCTTTATATGGGAGTTAGTCAAAGCGGTCAAATATGGACCGATCTTCATAACATTTGGAGGATGGATGTATATAAACGTTAATTATGTTGAATCTCATCGCTGATCATAGTATTCTGTATATGAAGATTTTCGCTCTTAACAAGAGCGTAAAAAATACAAAAATGTTATTTAGTTGCTTGAAAGCATTTAACAAAGTAGGTTGATGTTGCTTTGTTCCAGAAATTACATTACTATGGAATGTATAATAATGATTGTTGCTAGATAAAACTGGCATAAAATCGTCAAAACTAGTCTTAAAAATCGTCAAAATAATTGTTTCGGCGTTAATCCGTTTTGGTTCAGTGTAAATGCAAAAAAAGAATAAAACACAAAGAATTATTAGTTTTATAAAAGGAGAAGATTTGTCTTCCTTTATTTATATATTACCTTTAGCATGTATGCACAACAAGAAGTGCTCTTTAAGGCTTCTATATGACGAATGATAAACAACTACTTATTTCAAAGTATGGAGGCTAACAAAGTTTAAATACAGTTAGCGGTTTACTCGTTGAATTAGTAATAGTTTTCCATCAAAGATGTAAACTAAAGCAGTAAATCATTAGGATTTACACTTAGAGGAAAAATACCGCAAATAATCGATTTGTACTTAAACATTGCCGGCCCCCTTGCAACACTTAAGGTGTTGTAACTAAATAAATGACGAGTCATTAAGGACTCTCGTGGACTGTTTTTTCCAAATTAAAATGAGCCATGATCAGACTCCAGTTTTTTCTACTTGGGTCATTATGGACCCGTTTGAGCCATGATGAAACTCTGGTTGAGCCATGATGAGACTCTGGTTGAGCCATTAAGAGACTCTGGTTGAGTCATTAAGAGACTCTGGTTGAGTCATGATGAGACTCCGGTTGAATCACTAAGGACTCTTGCTGAATTAAAAATAATTTAGGAAAAGGTTAGTAAAGTAAATTGATATATAGTGATCATTTAGGAATTCGAAACAACAAGTCTGCCATACAAAGCGATCAATAGTAAAATTACTTAAAAATTCTTCTTTCCATATTTTACGATTCTATTAATACAGCGTTAAGGATAGACGTAAATCTCGAATTATCTATATTTAAATATCACCTCGTAAAAGGTTACAATAAGTGTTTGCACGTAGTGCCTTGTCGTAGACAAAATGAAAAATAATGATTTACAAACATTTTAATTAGTAGCGGTTCTATTACAGATTGATAAACTAACTACATCATTTGGGTTCATTACGATTCCATGTTGGAATGTATCTATTTTTAGTTGGCCTATATCTTTCGTTCGTAGGGGATGAATTAATACTATTTACAGGACCGGTTAATATCCAACCAAATACGGTTTTTTGAGCCAATAATGATCCTTGTACTTTTTTTCTAATTCCGGGTAAACTAAGCTGGGGGTATACATCAGCTCCTAATAATAATTCCACGGGTCTGTTGCCGAAGGGATTCGAATCTGCCAAATGAAGATTTGGCAATTTGTCGGCATTAACCGAAACCGAAGGCAGATTTCCCGAAATGTTTGGCAAAACAGATGCCGAAGTGTTTAATAAAAATGATGAATCAGTACTAGAACCTATTATCAAATCACAAGTCTTCGTCGAAATGGCCGAAAATTCCCCATTTACGCCTGTTTCGGAAATGGTTGACAGCTTTAATCTTTTCATGAACTTTTCAGAAATAATAGTACATTCTGAAGCAGGGTCAATTAAAGCTCTAACTTGATATCTACAACCATTGAGTATCAAGTCGACTGTTGCTGCACCCAAAAGAACAGAATGATTTCTACGAGTATGGTATATTTGTCGTTCAGTCATGGTGCCTGTCGTAGTAGTTCTTCCAGCTGTTGTACTTGACAAAATGGGTCGTTGGTCATTAGGAGTTGGATTAGTGGGTCGTAGAACCACACTAGAATTGTCATCTAATGAATTAGCTAAATTACCCAAAGGAATAGAATGGTTTTGACTAGCTTGAAATACTTGTCGTTCAACTATAGCGCCTGACGTAGTCGGTCTTTCTACCAATGCAGTTGACAAGTTAGTAGGTCGTTGGTCATTAGGAATGGGATTGTATGGTCGTAAAACCATAGAAGAATTGTCATCTAATGACTCAGGAAGTGCATTTCTACAGTTTTGCGAAGCTGAAGAATCCCGATGTAGTGAAGTATGGTGCCGCATATTACAAATAGAACAACGATGTTCACTTAAACAATCATTAACTTCATGTGAGTTAGCTAGACAATTTATGCAGCAATGAAATTTTTAACCGTTCTAAATCTCTCAGGAATAGACATTCTATCAAACTGACGGCAAAAACGAAGTAAATGACCCGGTTTTTTACATAAAACACAAGCATTCGTAGGACTTGTATTCAAAACATGTGGCTTTTCCTTGCGTTCAATGCCTTCCTTATCAGTATTGGAACTCTTAAGATCGCGTATGCAATCTAACGTTTGGATTCTTTCGGTCAAAAACATGTCCAAATCTTTCCATAAAGATAAGGCAGTTTTGTCCTTAACACTTTGTTCCCATAGTGTCACTGTCTGAGAGGGCAGTCTTTGTATGCAAATAAAAACGATAATTGGATCCCAATTTTGAGTGGGAATCTCATATATCGACATAGCAGTTAAAAATCCATTTATTCCGTAACCTTTTCAAAGTGGAACTATTCTCTTCTGTTATTGTCTCTAAACCAAACATTTTACCTGATTATTAACTAGCATTCGAGGATTTTCGTACGTATTTTTCAAACTTTTCCACGCTATATCAAACCCAGCATTAGTCAACGGACATTTAGACACAATTTCTCTCGCTTCGTTATCTGTTCTTTTTACTAAATAACATAATCGCTCGATATTACTAAGTCGACTCTAATTAATATATAAGGCAGTAAAAAGATCCCTAAATGTAGGCCATGAGAGATAATCGCCGTTGAAGATGTCCGTATCACATGGCGGAAAATGACTAACATTATCAAAATTTGAATCATTGTTTGGATGAGGGGAAACTTTAGGCTTAGTCTTTGCTTCCTATTCATCAATCTTAATTTTTATCGACTTTGAACATCGCGCATAAACATTGAGGGTACTCTGAAATTTATTTTCGGCCACTTGAATATCTTCTGGCTCGGCGTCTTCATAAGATTCAAGGTCATCTAAACACTTATCGAAAGTAATTTTCACCTTTTCCCAACACATCTTCAATTCACTTTCTAAAACTTGGAAGTAGTATACGTGATGTTCTTCCTCGCGAATATTATTAAAGTTTGCCTCAAATTTTATTACGGCATCTGAAGCACGAGTGAATCGTTCGAGGGCTGTCAAAGGCATTTTTCACAATTTTAAGATTGGATTGTATCAGTAAAACAGTATAAAAATGGAAGCAGCGTTCAATTTCACAAAAAAAAAATCGAATTTGTATTATAAATTTCTAAACTAACTATTTTAAGTCAAATCGACCGACCGTAGGGTAACTAACAATAAATTAGTAAAAGGAGGAAGAAGAAGAATTTTATCTTTCACAACACAATTACTAATAATAAATTTGTGTGAACAAACCTTGCATTAAATGCAGTCACTAATTATTTTGATCACTATGTGTTTCACTAGAAAATTTACACCAAAATAATTTTCATAAAATTTAATTATTGAAAATAATTTATTTATTTAAGTATTTGCCGAAAAAATTCAAATTTTAATTATCAATTATGGCTGTTGTCCAATGTAAACAAACGCAGCCTTGATTATAAAAGTACCGATCACTATCTGTCAACAGGTACTGTATAAAATATAATCGCGCAAGGATGTATTAAATATGGATTAAAATTAATTCACAATAAATTATTGGCAGTAAAATTAATTCCCTCTTTCGACAAGACACTTGTTTTCTTTTGTTTTTTTCTTTATAACACACACGTATATACATCCATATGTATGTATTTATGTTTGTTTATATACATTTTTCCTTTTGACACAATCACTTTAATATCAATTTACTAACCTTATTTAAATTAAGGCTTAAACAAATCTCCAACAAAAGGGCGCTTATTAATTCCTTGGCAAGGAGTCTTCCTTTCATACGTTGGAGTATGTCCTTCTTAGTGTTTTATCCTCGGTTCGAAAAGAGCATGTAATTATTCGGTTCGAAGCGACCAATGTTTC